CTAACGAAAAGTCATTTCATTTTGGGCTTTGTTCTATTTGGTGGAAAGTTTGATGATGTAATGAAACCAATTGTAGATGAAATTAATATTTTAGAAAAAGGTACTTTGATAAATATTGCAGATCAAGATATATGAATAATTGCTGCTTTGGATGTTATAATCACTGACCTCTCTCAGATTAACAATCTTTTAGATACAAAGCATTATAATAATAGTCTAGGATGTAGAAGCTGTTTGGTACCTAAGGAGCAATTAAATGTCTTACTTTTGATGTTAAATTAAATGCCAGATATTACTATCTTACAAATAAAAAAATAGATATATTAAAAGATTTTATAAGAGCAGGGATATCACAAAAAACAATTAATGAATATTGTACAGAGCATGGTCTAAGTACACATCCTAGTATTTTGAATCTTCTAACATGGGACCGATACTTACAAACACCCCAGGATGTGTACCATGCTATAGCTAATAAAGTACGAAGATTAATGGATTGTACTTTTTTAATATTAAATCCAAGAGGAAAATGTGCCTTTTTAACTTATTGAAAAAACTTTGAAATATCATCTGGCTGGTTCTGTCTTTCCAACCTAATCAAACACCTCAATAGTTTCTTGTTTTCTGATTGTTTGTGATTAACAATGATAATGCCATTTTTATTACAAAGATTTTTAACAACATCATATATCAAAGATACCAATTTGGCTTTGTTACGAAGATAACTTACATCATCAACAAACTTACAACTAAAGACACTATCATCTATACAAATTGTAAATGAAATCATATTGTATTGGGTGGCTATTGCTAAAGCATCCTGTTTAATTTTCAGTTCTACCTTTACCAAGCAAACATATAAAGAACTAGATGAGGCTCTAAAAATTAAGCATATCCTTTTGCAAAAAGTAAGTATATATATATTATATTATATACTTGCTTATAGTGATCAGCATGTATTTTTTATACATTGCACTGTTTGAGAATTAAAATTAGCATGTAAGATTATTATATATTCAGCATTATTCTAAATTAGGAAAATATAATAGATTACAGGATCACATATTCTTTTTTAAAACCCTTAAAAAATCAGGATGCTTTTAACAATAAGATTTTATTTTAGGATAACAATTTCTGATGATTTAATCTAATTTATTAGTGAAATACGAAACATGGCTAACATTATTTATATCATTATCTTTTAGCTTTTTCCAGATGATTTTAATTATTTACCAAACTTACATATAAATTGACATCATGTTCAGAATGTTCGCAACTTCGAGATGCTCATAAATATTTCAGTGGGTGTAAAGGTAGTGGTATATAAAACATTCAAAAGTTCTTTTTTAAAATGAATTGCAAGAATATAGAGTTTGATTTCATTTATTATCATAATACATTACAAATGATCTATTACCTTATCGATGAAGGTGAAGATAGCTGCTTTCAAAATGTTGGGCAGGGTTTTCAAAATTTTATAATGGATCCATTGCTTCAACCAATATTATCAGATTGGTATATGATGCAGAATATTCAAGAAGAAGATATGTTTGACATTGATATGCAAGTACATATTTACTGAAACTCCAAAGTATTGTCAAATATTCAAATATGTTTAGTAAAAAATCAGGTATTTAGTATTTATCTAATTTAGTAATTAATATATATAGTTTAATTAATAAACTTAAAAATTTTCTGACTCTGATTAGTTCTTTAAAAGGAAATAGCCAGAAGAATTTGCAAAAAGAAATCAGCATTTAGGTCGACTTTGGAAGCAGTGAAATAACCAAAATATAAGTTCATAATGTTTTTTGATATACTTTTAATTCTAACAACCTAATTTTAAAATTTTAACTTTCATGTTTTTGTACAAGAATTTTCCTTTTAATTTAAAAAATATTATAGTTTTGTCTTTGGAGTTTCAGGTTTAACAAGCTGCAAAAATTTTAGTTTAGATTTTTTTTATTCTTTTTCAATGTAATAGAATTTTTTTGTTGTAATAGATACAAATGTCACATCACATGATGATAAAATAAGAAACATCAAACTTCGAAAATGCCTATCGAAAGATGAAATCTGTCGACTTTCTTTATCTGTAAAACTTGATGCCAATCTTCAGTTCACCTATAACACCATAAGTGCATATGATATTTATATGCAAAAAAGTGCTGCTTTGATATATAGATATGTAGAATTTTATAATCAAATAAGTTATACATTACTAAACGATAATGGTATATTTAATATGCATATGAATTTGTATTCAGGTGATATAGTGCAAATTCAGGAAGAAAATAGTATATTATACATTATATTAAAAAGGATATTTACACATAAATATAATAATAATTTAGTATATTCATTTTTTTGAGTTAATTGGTTGCAGAAATGCTCAACACTTGATCTGGTTCTTCATTATCCAGTTTATGAAGTACAAACAGCTGAAAACACATGATGTCACTGAGTCTATCTGACAAGTTTTATAGACAACTTATCAAAAGTTCATTTTGTACACCATTGTCATTCTACATGTACTTCAACTTCACATGATTTCTCAAATAATCAATATGTTAGAAATGAATTTTACTATACAGAAATTTAATAATGCCAACTATTTCATGAAAAGAATTTAAGTTTCAAATACAATTGTTTTGTTTTGTATTTGATTTAATTGATAAAACTTAAATTCATTACTGGTAAGTAAAATTTTAAGAATTTCTTTTGACTTTTACTGATTTCAATATTTAGAACAATGTGCCTTATTCATATCTATATTACCTACCTTACATTTTTAGGTTTATATTTATTGCAATCGAGTTCTTCTTAATCAGTTTCCCTGTCATCTTTTGTTATACTTCATTGTATAAAAAATTGATTACAATATCTGTATAATTAATTTATTATCATATTATTTCACAATGAAACTATTTTATTACCTTCTGTACTTATTATTATCTATGCCAGGTTTACAATTCAACCTTTTGAATAATTTAATGAGCTATTATTTTATTTAATTCATTCATACATGCACTAATATAATATTAGTCACAAAATTTTTATCCTGTTTTTTCTACTACATCCTTATCTACATTAATTAACTTCAATTGCACATATGCAAACTTTATTTTTATTATTGTTTTATTTAAGTTACTGATAAATTTTTAATTAATTTTTGATTAGAATCATCACACCCATTT